TATGTGCTATGTGTGAGGAAACTTGGTCGCATGTGTAGGGATCGTCTCAGAGAGCCGTGGACAAGGGGGTTCGGTGGTGGTGAAAGAAGAACCACAGTAATAGATGGTGAAGTGGAATTTACATTGACACCAACCCAAATTCAAGAACTCGCTGATATCGTTGGTGAAAGTGATGGCACGATACAAGTTGTGGGGATTCAGAGCGATCATTTATGAATCATCATTGTCAGGACAACCGCATCGGGAGAGATCAAAAGGACTGATATGCCATATGGACATCCTTATTGATATCTTCAACTTTAAGGATGTTGTCGCAAACACAGATGAGGAGCTAAAAAATCGCTTCAATCTACCGTTCGAGGCATCTATTGAATCACGGTCAAAACTGATGTTTAAGCGTCAGCCAATACGTTATGCCAATTTTTCGTTTCTTCAACCAGGGGATATCTACTTTCTCAACGCTACAACCCGTGATTGGCAGGGACTCCTCTATGAAGTTCATACCATCTCATTTGACACTTCCTTATTAGCAACACAGATAGACTTATGTCTTCATTTTTCTTCGCTGCATAACTAAATACGAGAACCATCACACCAATCCATAACAAAAACTATGCTTACTCCGTATTATAGCCGACAAATATGGTGTTCCGTTATTGTTTGTGAAACATGTAGAGATCATGTATTTTATATAAGGTCAGATTTGTAATAGGATCGAAAACTGTATTTGTAACAGTATCTTATTTGATACACATTTCTGTGAGACCTTACCATGTAAATATTCATTGTACATACATAAATGTGTGTATATCATATCATTTTAGATTAGATTAGAAGTGAATGTCATGTGCCATTCTCATCCGGGACTTCCAAAATGGCAGAAAACACGAAACCAAACATGTGCGTATATTTCAATATTTTATTCTGAATTCAATTCATTTATTAAACATCCATGATGCTTCGCTACTTGACATATTGGACTGAGGAATGGGAATGGCATGCCAAAGGGGGGACTAGAACATGCTTGAATATCGGTGTGAGGTCAGGTTCGGCCGAGTTAGCACCTCCTGCTGTATACTCCCCGTCCATATGAGCTATCACATGGAACACCTAGTGGTCTGGTGGTTGGCCACATAAACAAGCTTTGTTCTAGTGGGACTTAGGTGGACTGGGTCGCCTTTGGGTTCCACTTATCTCTTCTTCTGATCCACAGCCATCTGGAGCCGTCTTCTGCTGCTGAGCTGATAGACTTTAAGGCACTCTTGAGCTCCTTGGGTTGCAGTCCTATCTTGGATAATAGGGTTCTGACTGATGTTGCTGGGAACCCCCTGCAACCAATTTCGATAGGGAAGACGGACGCGTGCCACCCTCTTGTCTCAGCTTCGTCTTTGAGGTCTTGATATTTTGTTGCTTTGATCTCATGTGAAACCTCTAGCCTATCCTCCCATGGGACTGTTAGTTCGATGATGATAATGGTCTTGGTTGAACTGGAAGTCATAACCATGTCTGGGCGCAGGGTTGTTACTGCCACATTCTGTGGGAAGACTAGTTTCTGATAGAGATCTACCTGGAGTTGCCAATCTGTTGCTTTGGCCAAGATGCTTGGATTGGGTTGTGGTTTGGGGGTCTTTGCAGCTTTGGGTTTTCCTTCCCTGATAAATTCTATTTGCTTTTGCTGTTGAGTGATGGAACCTCTATTGGCAATGCCTCTTTGCTGGTCTATGTACTTAGAGACTTCTTGGAGTACCCTGTTATGTCTCCATGTGAATCTTCATTCACTCAGGGATTGGGGGCAAGAGCTGAGGATGTGTCGCAGGTTGCAGCAGTCTCCCTTGCAAAGTGCACACTTGTCAGAATCGTCTTTACAACAACAAATAGAGAACATATTGTGTATTGTACTGTTCAAAAAGGTTCTGTTAATAAATGTGACATATAATTATCTTCGAAATGCAATTATGTCAGTCAATATTTTATTGATTTGTTCGGAACCTTAAATCGGAGGCCTAACCTTGGAATGTTAGGCTAGTTTTAAGCCTAAATCAAGTACAATGAGGTATTCTATTGTAATTTACCTAACTTTGTCCAACCAATACTTAGCTGTCGTCTTCACCCAGTTGTTTATTTCGCAGCAGTGAAAGGAAGATGGCTCCGTGGAGCCTTCCTAAAGTTGAAGTGTTGGTGTCGGAGGTAGCAAGGAACAAAGATGTTGTGAGAGGCGCATTTAATAATAATCTTACAAATGACAAGAATATTTATACTTATTTATTTATTTGCGCTAATATTATATTCAATTTATGTTTATCAAGCAGTATATACACCTATTTTAGGTGTCCACTGTAAATAATTTGTATTTTGATTTATTGTTATATGAAGGAAATAAGAAATAAATAAAAAAAAGGAGGAATTTTTGGCAAAGACAGCAAACACCACTTACATTTCAACGGCACGTCTGAAAAGGCCAGTCCAGAAGGTAATTCATTTTGCCAAAATGCCGCTGGAAGTAGGGTGTAATGTATTTGGTGTTTTATAGATGTCATCAGTGCACAGATGTCTATTCACTTGTATTGCATCCCGGGATTGACTGTTTGCTTTTCGTTCATTGTAAACGTGGTTATTTTCAGTGAGTTTCCAAATATTGATGATACATTAAGAGACGCTCTTGTATTTGGAGTAAATGACGAGAAAATTCTGAATGAATTACTCACTGAAGCCCAGGAAAAGAATGAACTTCCTCTTAAAAGAGCTTTGGAAATTACCACGGCAATGGAAATCAGTTGTGGGCAAGTAAAAGACATGAGCCAGCCAAGTAAGGAAAGTTCTATGAATTATGTACCTTACAATAAACGCAACAATCGTCGTAAATCTCACAAGCCTGCTGTGAAACCCACATCTAGTGCTAAAGCAGATAAATGTATTCGTTGTGCGGGTCCTCACCAGGTAGCTGAATGTAAGTTGAACAAGAACATTAGATGTTTTAACTGTAATTCTAGGGGACATATCAGTAAAATCTGCCAGAAAGAAAAACACCCAAGTGTTCATAATGTTGACACAGGATCTACTGCATCAGAGATTGTTGAAGCAGAAACTTACCATCTGGAAGTGATGATATTTTTGACATGCATGTCAATTGTAATGGAGATTGACACAGGATCTCATAAAACGTTGATGTCGTTGGACACATTTCGTGATATGTTTCGAGACAATATACCAGATGTACGTGAATCTAACATCAAATTAGCAACATATACCAAGCAACAAGTACCAGTTTTTGGAGAATGTGATGTACCTGTTTCATGTAATAATCAACAGTGTGATATGTTGTTAGTATTGGTCAATCAAGCAGGACCTTCCTTAATGGGACGTGATTGGGTGCGTCAATTTGATTTGATCAAAATGTCAGCGAATGTGAACAGTATACAATTTTGTGACATGGATGAGGAATTTAAACCAGTTCCAGACAGTAGCGTCAAGGTTGAACAATTACAAGAACATATAGTGAAGTGTTCAGGGATGAACTTGGTACCATTGATAATGTTCATGCTCACATTTATGTTGATAAAAATGCTAAACCTCGTTTTTATAAACCAAGACCTGTACCACTTCCTGTGCGAGGTGCTGTTGAAGTAGAAATTGATAGGTTGGAAATGAGGATATCATTGAACCAGTTGAACATAGTGATTGAGCTTGTCTTACTGTGCCAATTCGTAAGCCAGATCATACCATACGTTTATGTGGGGATTATAAGCTCACTGTAAATCAAGTGTCACAGCCTGACTCCTATCCAATTCCCAATGTGAAAGATTTGTATGCTCAATAGACTAGATGCGAGTAGAAGTAATCTTGATTTACGTCATTTAATATTCAAAATTCAGTCAAAGTGATGTCATATTTGAAATCTACATGTAAAAGTACATCTACAAATATGATTTCGAAAATTGTTTTTCAACTTTGAAAATTAATTTTTTTTTGAAAGTGTGACTCCTCGCTCGGGTTGATTCCCCATAGACCCAAGGTTACAAAATCACAAAAAGTGGAATATCTTTTCTTATATTGGACAGATAACATTTTCTTTTATTGGACATATTTTAATTTGCATAACTATTAGATACATAAGGGTAATATGAAAATTGAACCACTCAAACAAATGTAATTTAATTTAAAGGGAACTTTCTGCTATACCCGCCATGTTATCTGACCCGAACGAGCCACCTGGTGGTGAAACTGGTAACTACCTACTCGCATCTGCGTTATTGGGTGGGGGAAAAACTTTTACAAAGTTGGATATGAGTCACGCATATAGCCAGTGAAAGGGATTTTTGTTATGCTTTGAATGGAACGAGTTTGATAGAAAAACGGTGCAGTACGAGACTTGTAATCCTTGATTTTCAAACATCCGGTAGGTCAAAAATTCAAATTAACGGTCGAAGTTAGTACCGCGTGATCATAATAGTCTAGAAAATGCAAAGTAATCATTATTGCTCTGTTTGGTAAGTAGGCTTTGAACAGATTGAATCTTCTATGCTTGTTATTGAGGACATGGCATTATTTCTGTCATTATTACACTTTGACCTTCATAAGCTATAGAGCTTTCAATTCTAGGCTCGGTTTCAATTCTAAAAATCTGGAAAAGAAAGAGGGAATCGCCCCCAATGCTGAAATGTAACCAGTATAGATATGTAACGAAATATTTTATTCACCTATGTCTGCTTCCAATGTAGGTGTAGGATAAGTGGCGACACTACAGCTCCCTGTTTGTGAGATCAAGGTACAAAGAGACGATAGCTATTGTCTTTCTACGACATGGTAGTTTGTTGTAGGTTTACGACAAATTTCTGGAAACAAGAATTTTCTACTTGTCGTGAAAACACAATTGAAGTTACAATATCGTAAGTCTACGACATTTTTGGAAACGACCCCCCCCCCCCCCGGTTGTTACACTGGTTGGCAGCGTCGGGATATTGATATTAGGTTCTGCCCTATCAAGACCCACATTTATGTATTTTTAGTGAAGCTTGTATTTTTTCTACAATATTGTAATTGTTACATTTCAAGTCAGGTATTTTCATATATTTTCTGTTAGGCCAGTTAAAATTTACTGTACACATTTAAGATAACTTAACACATAGCACAACAATGGGTATTAATCTTCCTCCAGCCTCTAATAGTGAAAGTGGAATTTCTCAATTAAAGATTCATCTTAGTACATATGATGGAACAACAAGTTTTGAGAACTTTATTATACAATTTGACATAATCGCGACATATTTACAATGGGACAATTACACCAAGGCTGTTTACCTAGTCAGCTGCTTACACGACAAAGCACTTTCCGTACTAAGTGCTATGGATTCAACAGAGCGAATGGATTATGATGCTGTTGTGCGTAATTTAATACTCTATTGTGATGACCAACACACATGTGATTATTGTTTGAAACAACTGTATGATCGAGTGCGATTACATGGAGAGACACTTACCGATCTTGCACATGACCTTGACCTTGCGGTGACCAGAAAAATGCTTTGGCTGTCAGATACTTTTTTAGTGCCATCTCTGATGAGGCGCTAAGGTGAGCTATGAAGGCTAAAGATGTGGCGACATTACATGATGCCCTTCATGTTGGAATATTATATGAAGATCACTTCAAAACTTTCCAATCTGAGATACCTGAACAAACTGTAATATACTGTCACTCCTGAATACCAATATATATACACATATATATAAACCAATCATCTTTTTGTGTTTATCATTTTGGGAGTAAGACCGTATTAGTTTTACAACAGGTTAAAATAGAATAAAAACCATCACACTCCCTAGGGGGTAGGTGTAAATATTTTCAAAAACACATGCGTGATATATACACATACAGTAAAACCTGTCTGATGGAATACCTCTCTGTAGGGAAAACCTATGAACAAGGAATGCTTTTCAAAAGAACCAAATATTTTTCCATTGACTTACATGTTAAAGGACCCTCTCTGTAGGGAAAACCTGTGAACAGGGAATAAGGAACACTATTTTGGGGCAAATTATGAAAATTCACCTGTGAACAAGGAATATGGAATATTGGTGACACTGTATATTCCATTATTTTTCAGAGGTGTGAAAGTCTTAAGCCAATATCTGAATATAGAAAGCTTGGATTAATATGATTGAGATTAAGATAAGCCAATTGTTGACATGATGTAGCATCCCACCCACTGTTAATTACCCTGATTTATTTTAAAACTAATACTAAGCTGCTTTTTACTTATTATCATGACACCAATTCTTCCTTTCAAAAACCTAATTACATCAAATCAGTTGTGATAATCTAGGGACTGACACAATTGTTTTATGGAGATAACAGATAGTAATGGTCATGGCCATGTTGAGCCAAATCTCTATAAATCTTTTACTGATCCAACTTCTAGATTATCAATGATATAAAATGGGGTTGATGAAAATTGAAATTCAGTTCTTAGCAATAAATCTCTACACATCATATCAATGATTACATCAACTAGACATCATCAGACGCTAGAAGCAGCTAAATTCAACATGGGGAGAACGTAACCAAGTATGGAGTTGGCATTTATACAAGCAATCAATATATATACAAATATGCTTATTCTGCAATTTTGAGTTTGCTGAAAGTGCGGCCCCTCTCTATACGGAAAACCTCTGAACTTTCCTCCAGTCCCAAGAGCATTCCCTGTTCACAGGTTTTACTGTATTTTGTACCAAATGCGTGATATAAACGGCAATCGCGTGCAAAGACTGAACTGAATGCGTTCGCTTTTTTTCACTGTTCGGTATTTTACCGTATCGGCATTTCACAAAAAACGATTTTTAAAAATATCAACAAAATGCGTGATTTGCGTGATATTTGATCATACACGCTAAATTGATGCATGATTTCTATTTTTCCAGAAAATGTGTGACAATCACGCCTAATGCGTGAGGGTTGACAGGGCAGACCTTAGCATTTGTAACATCTCATAATTTTATCACCACGGCTAGTTGAGTGTGACCCCCCCCCCCCCGGTTGTTACACAACCAACCTGATTGCATACATGTATTTAACTTTTGTAAAAATAGAATGTCATGAGTATGAACAACTCCTGAAGCCATATAACCTACTAGGCCAAGAAGTTAAGAACACCTGTCTGGGTAAACGTTACAGGGATAGCCTAGGTGCTGACCTTGTATTTACACTGTTATTAGAATATTATGTTGAAAGAAACAAAGTACCTCTTAGTCAGCTACCAGTGCAGTCATCTTGTTCCAAGACAGGTTCGAAGATTAACTTGACAAAGGTGACAACAGGCAGCTTGATTTTTGCATTGAATTTGATGCACTACGATTTTGTACTACGTGAGGCGACACTTCTATCAGGCAATGAAAAAAGTAATAGTCCATTGAATCACATGTGTACATGTGTATGGATGGAAAATCAGACAAGAGACGAGAGTTGTCGTTTCTGTGTTCAAATCGATATATCTTCTTCAGACGTCCACCGGTGAAAGATTCTCAACACCTATGCAAGCTTCGTATATCGGTAGATAAAATAGACATTGTATCATTTTAGGTTTCACGAAAGAATCGTAGGTTTTGACGAAAATGACTATCCGGTGCCTCGTTGATTTACCATCCGCGGACATGTTGAATGCATGTAAAACAAGGATTTCGAAACGAAATCATAAGTACAAGCCTATTTGGGTTTTTCTATAACAAGGAACTGAAAACGAAATCATATTTTAATAGTCGAGATAGGCTTCATGTACATGTACTAGCACTGGCGGATCTCAGAAGCTAACAATTTGGCCCAAATTTTGAAAATGTATTGCCCATTTTTTTATTGGCCTAAAAAGGCCCGAAAAAGGAGTCGGGGCAATCTCACTGTTCCACAACTGGATGACTCTAACTGCAGTTAGCTTCATTCAAGATGGTGGACAAAATTCGTTCGTTTTCGATAAATCTCCAATTACAGCCAAACCAAGCTGAATCTTGATCCCAAAAGTTTCGCCATGCAAACTTATAAAGATATGATTGTAAACAACCACAAATAAAGGCTCACGCACCCGCGATATTAGAGAAATTGAAAGAAAACGGCTTCACTTAGAATGACTCTAACTGAAGTTAGTGATGACGTAGGAATGAAGCTAACTGAAACGGGGAATGAAGCTAACTCAATGGGATGAATATATGGACGGCCCTGTCTGTTGTTATAAGATATCTAAATATTATTGACTGTTGTTATTGGTTGTAGCCATTTGTATTTTGACATGGAGTGAGTTTCTATTCAATCCCATGGCCGGTGATCGTAGAAATTGGACGGAGGGGGAGCAGACAAATTCTGGTAGAAATTTCAACAAATCTGGAAAACTTACTTTTTCAAGACAAAATTTAGTTTACGATTGAATGGCCAAATGAATAGGCTTACGGTATGGTAAAATATTGTAAGTATTCTAGGATTAAAGTACATGTATATGATGTAAAAGGCGAAATGCCGCAAACGTCCGAAAGTCAATGTTTTGCTAGTCAAGCAAGAATGGTCTACACGACCTGTAATTAAAAAACTTGTAAGTGACATTATCGTCACAAAATTAATGTCATTGCTGAGTAATTGAGTTCCCATACGTAATATAAAAATTAATTGAAGGGGCGGAGGGGGGGGGGCAATATTTCTATTATTCTTCTATTACTATTTTTATTTCTATTACAACTTCACGAAAATTCTTGTATTTCAAAAATGAACTCATAAAAGAACTCAATGTAATATGAAGCTGGATTTTACAGCTCTGAAGAATGAAAAATGGGGAATTTTAAGTTATAGGACTTCAAGTCTAGAAACATCTCTTATAATGTCTGATATACATACATGTAGCATGATGATTGACCGGGAATAATCTGACCGGGATAGACGTCCATGATTATAACAGAGGCATATAAAGTCAAATGAAAAATTATTAATATGCCTCTGATTATTATGAGACTGGATATTGGATATAAGACTGCTCGTATATCCATGGGAGGATGTAAGGGTTATTATTGTGTCACCATCAGAATCGGTGAGACAGTTGACATATTGTTATAGTCTCCAACTTTTTGTGGTCCGGACGGTGTTCGATGGTTTGTATTCGGAGTTCGGTGGTTGGTATTTTAAAAACTGGTCTGAACGGTCATTATTCACGATTCCAACAATTTGACATCTTTGATCAGTAACTATACAAAACAAATACTAATTAACTGTCTGGAGCACAGCGATCTCTTTCCGGCACAAACAGGATATTTTGATTTCTTAAAATTGTTTTATAAACAAGTATAATCTTTTTTCTTCATCGTCTGCAAATATGCATTTAAATTAAGCCAGGGTACCCCGATGAATGTACTGCATGCGTCATGCATGTACTGTCTTGCCTGTAGCCAGCTTTTTCCAATGAGTGGGGGGGCTATTGCGGGGCTATTGCCAAGGAGAGTAACTTTTGACAGTTTTGGCAAAAAATCATGCGAAAAGTGATCAGAATGGTGAAAAATTGCATGGTTTGAACGGTTTTTAGGCCGGGGGGGGGACCGCTTCCAAAGTTTTTGCAAGTTGCTTCAAATTGACAAATTGACATAAAATCTACAAGTTCTCAGGATGAGATCAAACTTTTTTAACTTCCTTCAAATTGATTTGGGGAAATTTAAAATCATCAGTTCCAACTGGACATTGTACGTACATGTACGATGCATAACACTCTCTGACCAGATAATGATTCAATTTCTCAATTTTCAAATTAAAAGTAGGAAAAGCGTCATATTGGTCCTCAGACGCTCTTCCCAGCAAAAAGTCGTGAGTTATTTTGATACACAGCGGGGGCGTAGGCAGCTTTCAGTCAGGTTGCCCGGGGGGCGATCGTGGCATGAGCAAGGCAAATACATTTTTTTCAAGATTTGTTTTGAATTTTACAAAAATTGATGCAACTGCCTTCAAAAGTGAGCTAGACGCTTTCAATAAAGAGCATTTTAAAACTCTTTTCTTCTATCCAATGGTTCTATTTTTATTGGTTATCGGGGTCGCACCCATCCCCCTGACTACGCCTATGCATAGTACTGAACACAATAAAGTGCAGGCCTGAATCTTCGAACAGTTGCATTTTAAATGGATAATTGAGAATAATTACAATTACGCCCCGTTATGGCTTATGCCATGCAAGTTTCCTTGATTCCCATGAAGAAGATGACACTACATGTATAATCTAGGATCATCCTAGGTATATCCTATATTAATAATTACTCAAAATACTATTAATCTGCCTGTGTGATTACATTTTGTTACAGATGCCGAACGTCGAACACCAACCGCCAAACATCGATCGTTCAAAAAAAAATTGGAGACAAATGTGTCTACTTGTGTTGGAGTGACATAGATATAACACCCCCCCCCCTCCCAAACAGTTCCTAGATTATTAAGGTTTAATATACTTCAAGGTCCTTGCATTTGTTTATAATGAGGATAAAACATTCGTTCCCTTACACCCCAGTCACATTTGTCGTACGGAGGCCGTGCGTCGACTGCAGAACAATTAAATCAGTGAATTCAACTGCGGCGAGCATAGAAAAACTACGCTCGCCTTGCGGTCTCCCTACGGCGTATCCAGTTTTTTACAGGTCTCAGGGTCGCCGTAGAAATTATAACTCCGAGTTATAATATTTGTTCATTTCTGAGGTCCCCGTAGAAATCAACTGGCTCAACAAGATTAAATCATTATTTGTCAATGTTTCACGATCACTTTTCATTTGATATTACATCCTAGAACTATGAATAACATTTATAAATTGTCCTGATGTAAATAAAATGAAAAAAAGTATAATTTATCAACAGAAATTTAAAATTCACCGTACGACTTCCATGGGAAATGTGACTGCAAAAGTATGAGAGCGCAGAAATTCTACGGCGAGCGTAGAAAAGCTACTGGCCGCAGAAATGATAGACCGCACGGCGGCCGTGGGAAATGTGACTGGGGTGTTATTGAAGTTTCACAAGATCATGAAGCCTGAATAGTTGATTTCACTTTGTCAAAAGTCACGGATGATTGCTGTTGGATAGGAATGAAATAAATAAAAAAAATAGCCTATTGAATGTCTGTGCGAATGGTATCAAATAATTTCGATTTCTCAAAAGTTGCTTTTCCTCTCACTTCCTTTAATCTATAATCACATATTAATTGGATCAATACAGACTCGATTTCCTCTGCCCACAATACCATTGCAATTTAATGACGGGAAACGGTCGCTGGAATAAGCAATCAGACGTCTCAATTTGTTGAACGTTTGTTTTTGTTGAATGTTACAAGAAAACAATGCGTAATTCTGATATTTTGATATTGTTGCAATGCACATAAAGCATAGTTCAGCATTTCAAGGAATCTACATGCATAGTTCATCTGATAAAGGGGAGGGGGTGGCGTAAATAATTTCTGACTGCCAAATACCTCTCGAGAAGCCCCATTATACCAAACCCTTCACCCACGCAAACACGCACTCAGTCCATGTTGGGTAGGGAAATAGAAACGGATCAGGCCCACGGGGGGGGGGCAAAACCTCACCCCCTTGAAGACAGGTTTCTGACGGGCCTGACCCCCTCCCCCGGCAAAAAGCAGGTTATGAATAATGTAGCCAGTTACAGGGCCGTCAGATGGGGGGGGTGCGATGGGTGCGACCGCACCCCCCTTTGTCACCCACCAAAATAATTTTTTTTTCATTGACTCATACACTTTGAAAGTACCCAGAAAGCACCAAATAGCATCTTAAAATTGTAAAATTTTCTAGGGGTATTGGCCACCCCTCACATCCCCCACAAAACAATGGAAAAGTTCTACATTTATTTTAGAGTTTTGTCTCACACACTTTTAAAGTGCCCAGATATCATCAAATAGCTCCTTGATATAGTTAGTGTTTCTGGGGGACTTACTCCCCCTCTTGCATCTTGCACTTGCATAACCCCCCCCCCTCTGGCACCCCCCCCCCCCCTTGAACCCCCCCCCCCCAAAAAAAAAAAAATTGTGATTTTCTCAAATTCTTTAATTGACTCATACACTTTGAAAGTGCGTGCCCAGAAAGCACCAAATAGCGTCGTAAAATTGAAAAATTTTCTAGCGGGAGTGGGCTACCCCTCACACCCCTAACAAAACAATGGGAAAGTTTTGAATTTGTTTTATGTATTGTCTCAAACACTTTTAAATTGCCCAGACATCATCAAATAGCTCCTTGATAAAGTTAATGATTCTGGAAGACTAACACTTACTCGCCCTCTGGCATCCCCACTCCACCTCCCCCTCTGGCATCCCCCCCCCTAACACCCCCCCCCCAAAAAAAATGAGATTTTTCAAAAAAAATTATTGACTCATACCATTTGAAAGTGCCCAAAAAGCACCAAATAGCATCTTAAAATTGTAAAATTTTCTTGGGAAATAGGCACAGACACTTTTAAAGTGCCCAAACTTCATCGAATAGCACCTTGATATTGTAAATTTTGATATGGGGGACAAACACTTGCTCCCCCTCTGGCACCCCAGCCCCACCTCCCCCTCTGGCACCCCCCCCCCCCCTTTTGAAAAAAATGTGATTGTTTTTCAATGTTTTTATTGACTTATACACTTTG